TACAGAATATTTGTTTGTTTGGTTGTTGTTTAACGCCGAACTCAGCAATATTCCAGCTTTATGACGGTGGTCTGTAAACAATCGAATCTGGATCAGACAAGCCTGTGATTGATAATGAACCCATACAGATACGTGTCGCGAGCGCTATCCCAATAATACAATACGGACGCTTGTGTGGCAGTGTCAGACGAACGTGGATATACTTATTGAGTTGAGTATCTCGTTAGCGATCTGACTCTTGGCCACACTCGAGTAACCTTGGAGAGAAAGTCCCCTGTTTCCTCCCGCTGACATTCAACCAGAAGTTAGACAGGGGGTCAGGCTGATGACCTGCTTATTAGCGTCTTCGTCTTCGCTTCAGTGTTTATGAGATCGCCTTCTGCAATAGCAAATTCGACTCCCCATTCTTCTGTGTGTGAGAAGAGTACTTTAGACTAATATCAGTCTCTGAAATGAACATAATTATGTTACAGCAAAAAAACAGTTGTTACATTATAGTTATAAAATGTAATACAAACTAGCCCAGAAACTTTCTTCATTTTCAGACCTGAAACTGCAGTAATCTAGACTTGCCAAATATTATAGACTTGCGTGGGCTATGCTGGATATATTTGTTTCTGTGTCTGTATGACAGACTAAGGGTATATATTCAGCCTTTTAACAGAGGGGGCACTCTGAATACAATGGCTGACTGGGTCATAGATCATTGGAAAGTTGATACACGACGTTGAGCCGTGCCATACATGCATTGTGTTTGTGCGGTATTTTAAGATGCAGGTGTATTCACTGTCAACTATTAATGGAACCCAATAGCTTTCTGGGTGGTGGCAAGCCTCGTCGTTACAACGTTCGTTAGTCTGGTGTTACGAAATCGACTCAACCGAATAAAAGCGTGAAACTGTTGTACTGTTGAGTCAGAGCGCACGAGTGTGTGAATGAGTGAGTATGGTTTTACGCCGCTTTTAGCAATATTCCAGCAATATCACGGCGGAGGACACCAGAAATTGACTTCACACATTGTACCCATGTCGGGAATCGAACCCGGGTCTTCGGCGTGACGAGTGAACGCTTTAACCACTAGGCTACCCGACCTCCCCTCAGAGCGCACGAAATACACACATTCGTAAATGAGTTCGATAAATAAGAAAGATAAACATATGAATGTAATAGTGTCTTTATAATCCTTCTTGTAAATTTTTTTGCAGAAAAGACTTGTGCTTATCAGGATGACGACTTTGCTTGTCGTAAGAGGCAACTAACGGGATCGGGTGGTCAGGCTCGCTGACTTGGTTGATGCACGTCATCGATCCCAATTGCGTTGATCGATGCTCATGATATCAATCACTGGATTTTCTGTTCCAGACTCGATTATTCACAGACCCCCGTCATATAGCTGGAATATTGCTGAGTGTGGCGTTAAACAACAAACCAAGATGACTCCCATTCTCAAGCGCATCCTGGTGCCCACTGTAACTCCTCGTTCCAATATGGTTTAGGTGTTTTAGCATCGTGATTGTTAACTGGTTTAGCTCTTGCGCTCTCATTTATCCTCATGCGTAAATCGATGTTCAGAATGTCAATCATCAGACTTGATTAGTTACAGACCATGACTAAAATAAAGCTGGAATATTGATGAGTGCTGTCTTAAACAACAAACAAATAAACAAACAAATAATTCCAACTCTTCTGTCAGACACATGCAACAAACGTTAAAGCGGGACGAGGCTCGGTTTATTTGGCATTCCCAGCAATTTTGATTCAAACTCTCCCCTTCACGTCATTCAAAAGATACGTCGTGTTTCTGTGAACTCAAATCGCATGATGTATATCAATCTCGTAGTTAAGGATTATTCTAATCGCTTGACGACAGTGTCAAATGCTAATACAGTAAACAACGGTTATAACGAACACGCTTATAACGAAATGACGGCTATAACGAACTTACTTTTTGGTCCCGACTAGTTGCTGTTGTTATACTGTATGTATGCTTATAACGAACTACGGTTATAACGAACTAAAATAAGTAGTCCTTTTGAGTTCGTTATTACCGTACTTTACTGTACTTACTAACGTCTAGAACTATACTGCCAGGCAAAAGAAAGTATACACCCATGTTTGGTGGTGGCTTACATGAAACAAACAAATTATCTGGTGATGTATTTGATGCGGGATCCGTGAAGATCCGGGGTAGAATAGATCTTCAGCAACCCATGCTTGCCGTAAAAGGCGACTATGCTTGTCGTAAGAGGCGACTAACGGGATCGCGTGTTCAGGATCGCGATCTTGGTTGATGCATGTCATCGTATCCCAATTGCGTGGATCGATGCTCATGGTGTCAATCACTGTATTGTCTGTTCCAGACTCGATTATTTACAGACCGTCGTCATATAGCTGGAATATTGCTGAGTTCGGCGTTGACAACAAACAAACAAACAAACAAACGAACAATGTGAAACGGCCCTCGGCGTCATTCCTTGCAGCAAACTAACTTCCTATGACTATGTGTGGCTGTTATCTGTTCACACACTATCTGCACGTATAATCTTCATGAACGCGGAAAACAATCCTGTGCGAAACTGAATATTGTAACCAATCAGCATCGCATACATTTTCAATTTGAATTCGTTAGTGCATGCTGGTTTCAAGGCAGTCCGTATAGGTTATATCCACAATGCACAAGTCCTCCGCACTCGCGACTGACTGTGCACTCTGCAAGCTACCGACACTCAAGTTCTTATAAAAAGCGTGAGATGTCATGGGGTCGTCTGACTGGGTGTCCATTAAGCAGGGATCGACAGTCGTATAAGGTGACCGACCAGTGGGCGATCACCCAGGGTCTTTTCTAAATTTCAACTTATTTATCAACGCTGGGTCAGCTGTCGTATCCTGTTCTCATCAAGACCGTCACAAGCAGAGGGTTTGACTAACTGTGTCGGTACCCATCGTTGATGATAGCTGCATAGGTATTAATATTTTTTATTTTTTTTTGTTGAACGCCGCACTCAGCAATATTCCAGCTGTAGGACGGCGGTCTGTAAATAATCGAGTCATGAACATCGATCCACGCAATAAGGATACGATGGCATGCGTCATCAACCCAATCACCGACAAAAACACCCGATCCCGTTAGTCGCCTCTTACGACAAGATGGTCGCCTTTTTCAGCAAGCATGGGTAGCTGAAAACCTGTTCTACCCCGGATCGTACACATAGGTATTAATAGGTATCTGGTGATAGGTAATCTGGTAGTCTGTTTAAAATTTCAACGCATGTTTCAAATCTGAATGATCAAACCACAAACGGAGCTGAATATTTACCCAAATACACACCATTGACCCAGTCGTTCTCTGCACAATAGAAGGGTGACGAGCTCCCAAACACAACTACCCATGAACACATCATACAAGTCTTCATGCGGAGAAAAAGGAGTGACGGTAGCCTAGCAATCTGATATACGAGAGTTGCATCCCTTAGCCGGGGCATGATCTGCTGACCGTGAAATTTAATTGCCAGGCTTGTACTGATTAAGTGGCGGTGGGGTAGTCTTGTGGTTAAAGCGTTCGCTCATCACGCCAAGGGGCGTCGGGTAGCCTAGTGGTTAAAGTGTTCGCCCGTCACGCCGAAGACCAAGGTTCGATTGCCGACATGGGTACAATGTGTGAAGCCCATTTCTAGTGCCCCCCGCTGTGATGTTGCTGGAATGCTGCTTACATAGGCGTAAAACCATACTCACTCACTCACTCACTCTTGATGAGGCACTCCGAAAGGGACGCTGGTTATCAAAACATCCATCTCTCCACAGTCGTTGCAGTGGATTAGTCCAACAACTACTCAAGGGAGATAATCCAGTTTTACTTAATGTTACAATTTCCATTAAATAAAACTTTAAACACGCGCACATACATTTAGAATTCACTAAGGTATAAATGCGACTAGGGATGTATATAAAGCATAATGTTCTTGTAGGAACTGTGATATTTATATAACATTTGAACAATTTGTTAAATGTATGGATGATGCTCTCTCAGACGGTGAAGCAAGGATTGTTTTAAGGGATTTTTCTGCCTCTTCATCATACCTTGCATATTTGACGTCTCGCTACCTCTAAATCTATCTGTATATATTTCACAGCCGACATAAAAGCAACTGTCAGCTTGGGTAGTTAAAATCCGACAATACAGTTTGTCTTTTAAAGGTTAGGAAAAAAGGGGATGCTCCCTTCTCA